AATGCATTTTAACTGTGGATTTTTATCTAATACCAGCAGCTTGTAAAAGCAACAAATTCTGAAGTTTCTATAGAATTCATCTATAAAAGATTCATCAATAGAATTCATCATTTATTATTATCATTTCTTAAAGAACAAAATAAAGTACTTTCCCATGGTGCATAGGTTAAAAAAATATTGTTCTAAAGATCTATTTATACGTTTACTACAAAGACTTGTACTTATTGTTTATCTATCGCTTTTAGTATGCTCATAGTTAACAATAGATCCACGATTCGTAGAGAGATGTACGTCATTGATTGCAGGCGCGTTTAAAAGCAAGTCACAAGCTTTTAAGAATTATTCTTATAAAAAGAACAAATAAAGTATCGTTATGTATAGTTCATCTACTTCATTTATTTTTGATAACATATATACTGAAGCAAGTTCTTACTACAGCGTAATAGCTTGATTTTGTTTAGTATGTGTTCAAAAAATGGGACTTGATCATAATCGGGTTGCGTGATTTAGATCGATTTGTTGATTCGGAAGTAAAGAAGACTCTTATCTGTACATTTTATACAAGAAGTAGGGTTTAATTACTGTTTAATTTGTTGCTGATCTCTTTCTGCTTAAGTAAATGCTGCGATGTAACTCATCTGACGTCTAAAAAGAAAATGTCAAGAAGCGATAAGAGTGGCATAAGTTTACTTAACATCAAGTAAGTTTTGGTATACAAATTACTTAACTTATGAAAACATTTTAGCACAGTTTACATTTTTCTTAAAAAATCTTATGCATTAGATATTATTAGCATGCCCTTTTCTGTGTAAATATTTCAGCAAAAAATTTCATGGAAAATAAAGTATATATGTAATATGTAGAAGGACTTGGAGAGTAATGCTTTTTTTATATTTCTTTTTGAAATAGAAGAATGTTTTCAGAAAATTCATATGTATATATGTTTTGCATGTGCTATTTTTGGTAGCAGCGCGTAACGATATATCTTTTCAAAAGTAAGCTAAATTTTCGTTATTACGTTTTTTTGAATTAGCTGCTCAATTGTTGCACGTATGAAATGTCTTTTGACATGAAAATTTTACTTTCATTTGAGATTGATATGTGAAATTTCTAAAGACAAACTTACTTCATTTGTCTAAGACTGTTTTTTTCATCCACGTCTCGAATTCAGTGGGAAATAGTAATTTTAAAGGCTTATATATATCCATTTCTTAAGTGTGTATATGTTCACACTTATATGATTCCTAATTCCATTAGGTTTGTTATAACATGCCCTATTTTTGCAGTTGAAATTTTTTTTACACGAAAGTAAGTCATAAGTAATGAAAATAAACAAGGTATACAAGAGTGGTACTGAATCTTTTTAATGTTCATAATATGATTATATTTAATTACATTCTTCAAATAGTTATTACTGATTTCATGATTTTTTGTAGTTATAGAAAACTATTCACTCATCAGCATTTTTAAAAAGGTTTAAATTTAACATATTGGTATAAGATTGATTTTTTAAAGGTTTATTTACAAAGATTGCGATAGTGTACTTGCTGATAAGGTTGTTTGTATTATCTATGATAAAATAACAATATTATACTTGACAAGTATCATCCTTATCTCTTCATTTTTGTTTCTTCTTTACATAGCTTCTTTATATGTACTATTAATAATAATTAAAGTAAGTGGTTTACATATTGAATCACATGTTGTGTAGGCAGTATATTTTTTGTTTAAAACCAGTTTCTTATTTATTCTTTTTGTGAGCAAACCAGCTTTGTTACATTTACACTGTTGTGTCTTTACGCTATGTCAGGACCTTATTGTAGAAGCAATTATTTTTTCATATTATACTAAATAGAATTAGATTTATTAGAAGATTTTTATAGTAGTTGCCCGAACTTTCATATATACATCAAATAATCCATCAGCAAATATTAAAATTATGAAATGCATAAAGATACATATCAAGTTACTAATTAAATAAACATCACTTTATTATTTGAGCACATTATAGTTTCGTTAAAATGGCAATATTCGTAGTGAAATAAGTTTAAGCATTTTAGGATGATTTTTCGTTCATTATCTGATCACGTATTGAAAGCACACTTGACGTTAATCACAAATTAACGTTAGTTGATTTAGCGAATTAATGTAATTAGTGTAGATTGTAAATATGCAATTTATTCTGTGTCTGAGTTTTTTATTTTCTATGTGACATCACAATTTGATGCATTATTCAGTGCCATATTATTTTAAAATCATATGAAACAAGAAATTTAAAAGAATAAGGAATTGCTTTTTTTTCTCTGTTTAGAAAATTTGTTAGAGTTTTTTTACTTGTTTTGGAACATCAAATATATCTTATACTACGTCACTCATTTAAAACTTAGCTAACTTTCATTGGATTTTCATATTAATAATTAAGGAGTAGTTTATTGGGAATAAAATATCGAAATATTATATAGTTTAAAAATTATCCCAGTTTATTGAAAATAGGTTGAGACTCGTCAATTATCGCGTAATATTTCATTTTTTTCACACAAATCAGTTTAGATATGAAATATTACTCTAAAAACTGTATTCCATGATTATTAGTTCCTATACTGATTCGCATGACATTCATTTCTAAACTAATTATTGTTGGCAGGAATGAATTCTTTGAGAACTTGTGGTTCCATTTTTATGGTGCATTTGGTGTCTGTCATATGGTTTGTCTACATGCTGTAAATCTGTTCAATATTTTCTTATAATATTGAATATTAAGTCTTATCGATTTCAAAGTTTTTTACATTTGTTTGGAATGGTTATTGAATCATATTTATAACTTATATACATTAACTTAATAATTTTTTTTAATCTGATAGATTTCGGAAAAATTCAATTTTCAGGTTCATTTCCGATTATCATTTTCCAGTTTGTTGGATTAATCAATTAAATGAAACTCTTGAAGTTTACAATGTGGAAATGCATTCATTGAAAAGTAGCTTGGAAAATGAAGTTACGAATCCCATGAAGTACTTGCTTTTTATTTGACTGAGTACTTGCTTTTAGATTGTGGGAAATTCCTTGACTAATTAACAAGTATCAGTATAATATCAATTTTTTTCGTAATCGGAATTTTTAATATTTGACTTTGGACAAACGAACTTAATTTTTACAAGTAAATTAATGATCGCAATCAATTGAATTTTTGCAATGACTATAATTAGCAGGACTTTTTTGGTTTTTAAAATTTCTTGAAAATGGATGATGGATTTATGCCCATCAGAAAATATCCATGCAAATGAAATGACTGTATTTGAATATTGGTTTGAAATTTACTCTAACAGTATATCCGTCTTATGTCTTCGTAAATTACAGAAATGTCGAAGCAGGGAATGATATCTCGTCTTCACCAGAAATAAGTCAATCAGTGACATTTTCAGCTGACCAACTACCTATTGTTACGTTTGATGAGTGGACAAAAGAAAAGTTAAAGCGAGAAGAAATTAGAAAGGCTGAACAGCAGCAGGTTACATATCAAATTGGCTTTTTTAGATTTGAATTTGAATGCAGTGGAAAATGTTATCATAAACGTGTCGTAATCATAATATTTTTTGTAAATAAAATATGCTTCCACAAGATGATAAAAATGTCGCAATACGAGAAAATTTTTCAGAATAATCAAAATAAAATCGTTCCTTCGGATGTTATTGAAGCTTCGAATCTTGAATTTGCTTTGCCGTCATCAGGTGGAGTAGAAGATAAGACTGTGCATTTGCCGCATAGTATTATTCCCCAAGAAGCTGCAGCAAGAAATTATGCTTCAAAAGAATGTGGTGCAAAGGTTCTTTTTAGTAACGAAGAAGCTGAAAATAAGGTACATAGATATGCATGTTTTTGTGGAAGCAAGAAGTAGTTTTTTTTTGTTATATGTCAAATATATATGAACAAATTAAATCTGCATATTCTTTTGAAAATTTTATAGGGTAATTACAAAATCTTTATTATGTGTTTTAGAACGGTGTACTAAATGAAAAAGAAGCAGATGATTATATGCGCAATCCATGTGAACGTGCAGAGCATAAATGGCTCATCATTGAACTTTGTGAAACTGTACAGGTATGCTTTTAATTTTTATTATTATTTTCTGTTCCTTATAGTAGTATTTTTTTTTACCATTTTCTAGCTTTCGTATTTTACTTTGACTATTGGTACGGAAATTAATTAAATAAGTAAATTATTGATCGCCACCAATTGTGATAAAAAATATGAATTAGTGATTAATCTTTCTCATATTTTTTGCTTTCGGTGTAGAAAAGTATTACCCTCTACGTTTTTGCATCACTTTGTATTCAGCACAACATTTCAGTTTATTTTTTCATGGTGTTATACTTTTATGACTAGAATATTATTTATAAATGTCAAGTTAGGAAATCAACAGGTTTTTTGGAGAAATACAGTAAATCTTGGTTTTTAGCCAACCTATCTTCAAATAGCAAACTTTGAGTTATTCTCGTCGGGGCCACAAAATATACGAATATCTGGAAGTGAGCGTTATCCCTCAAATGACTGGTTTGCACTGGGAGACTTTATAGCCGAGAATAGTCGTGAAATACAAAAGTTTCCAATTACTGCACGTTCATACATCAAGTTTTTACGGGTCAATTTTTTTCTAAGTTTAGTTTTCAAAGAAAGATCTGTTCACTTGTTGGAATATCATGCAATAGGATTAAAAAAGATCTGTTGAAAGAACACGTATTATGTATGTTTATAAGTAATGAGGCTAGAAAAGAATAGAGTTTTGTAAATATTTGTATTTTTCAGCTAGAACTATTAACACATTATGGTCGCGAACATTATTGCACCCTTAGTTTAATAAGGCTTCTTGGAATTTCAATGGTCGATGAATATGAAGCGGAAGCTGAAGCTGCTGCAGCGATTTCTGATTCTTCATTTACTTTTCAAGCTGTGGGTATTTCACTTACTCCCATAATTTTTGTTTTCTTTAAATCTGTATAAAGTCATTTCATATTTGTTTTAATCGGCTTTAAAATATGTATTCCTTGCCAATATTTTCAATAAGCCATTAACACTATTAGGATTTTTTTTCATCTTGTTCATTTTCAGAAAGTACATGAAAAAAATAATTCAGCATTGGAAAATATAGATCTCACCAATAGTACTGTAATCACAAATACTACAGGCAGCACTCCAGATGTAAGTGGAACACTTGCGGTTTTTCAAATTTTTGCCTTAACCTTTCTTCCTTATCATATTGGTTTCATTTTCTAACGTCTTCTTTTGTACTTCCGAGAGTAGTTTGTTTTTTTTGTCAGTGCTGTATGAAATTCAGTTGCAGAAAAACAAAAGCGGAAGCGAATTACCGTTTGTTGATGCTGTGGTGAACGCAGTAGGCAATATAGGAATCGGTGATATTAAGGATGTTTTGAAATCAACTTTTTCCTCAAAATCAAGAGAGTCTTCACATTCTGTCTCTAGGTTTCTATTTTTAAATGAGTTATTTAAATTATACTCAGCGTTTTTATCGTTTCTCCTTGCATCATTTATCAAAAAGGGGTGAAAATAAGAAATTTTGGAAACCTTGGTTTTTTTTAAACTATAGCTGAATGTCAAGGCTTCAGTGACTCAAAATTTTCTGCACAGCATTTATTTCCGCATAATTTATTTATTTTTTCTGCTCACGTAATTTCTTGTTTAGGGAAGCTGTGGCGATTGTTGAGTTGTGTACGAAATGTTATACCGATACTACTGATCGTTATTTTTTGTTCTGCCGAGCATTCTTCAGATTTCCGCATAAGTTTAATGGTACTAGCAACTCTGATATATTAAATGATAGAAAGGTTTGGTTTCATATTAAATATTCCTTTTTGTTTATAAAAATTGGTCTTATTTAGTTGGTTTTTGAAGTACATTGTACAAGTGTTGATTTCTATAAGTTGTCAGATATTTCAGGAAGGTGGTGTCTATATGCCTATCAAAAAGTTGGATCAGCGAAAAGAAAATATAGTTCAAACCTTAGATGCGTTTCTCATATCTGTTTTACCTACTAAAGTATGTGATTTGGAATTAAAGGAGTCGGAAAATGTGCATAATTTCGTGCCTCAAGCGCAGACGGAATTAAACGATTCTTCATCGATACATAATACAGTGATTCCATCAGGGAGTTCAAGTACATTAACTGGAAAACTTGCAGGAGGTAGGAGGTTTTTTTGATCAAGTACTTTATATATATGCCTTATTGGAACTTGTTTTGATCTCTGATGAATAAAACAAAATATTATACTGAAAATACTGATCATTGTTTCTTGCAGGCTTTATGATTCCTGGTGGAGTTATAAGTCATAAAGAATCGATATTTTTAAAACTTAATAAACGAATTAGTAATTTGGAATTAAATATGTCGCTTAGCAGTGAATATTTATCGGAATTAAGCCGACGTTATGTTTTTCAAACCAATGAAAGTCGACGTCAGGCTGAATTGATCATCAAACAAGCGGAAGGGGCTGCTGTTAATGCTGTTCGACCCGCTATTGAAGCCTTGAAAATTCAGGTTTCATTTTATGAATAAATGAGTAAGGAAAGCATATATGCCGTTATTGCATAAATTACTAAATGCCTCAATTTCTTATAGGTTAATGCCCTTCAAATCAGTTTGGACGAACTTATGGGACTAGTTAAAAATTTGTCGGAGCAATCCATTCCACTGCAGCGCTCCCTGATGCTCAAACATATAAGAAATGAAGATGATAAAGTGGATACCTTTCTGGCAGCTCATCCTGAACCATTTTTTTATGATTATCATGACTTGTGGACGGTTATTTTTACTTAATTTTTAGGCGTCCTTTACATCTATTTTAGTGCTATTTACATGTGATTACTTAAAAAATGGTCTAAAATCTGCAGTACCTTCCGGTTAATTTTCTGTCCAAATTTTCATGGCATTAAGTGCGTAATGAGTATTTTTGTAAATTCATTTTCAGTCTAGCTGAAAACGATATCTATTGTGAGCATTTCAGAATAGACAGCTCGTTTGTGTCATTGTTTTCGTGGTACTACTAACAATACTGATTTTGGCAGTGCTATACTTTGTTGTGAAAGTGATCAACCGAGGTGCCGTTAGTGAAGAAGTGAAAAAGCAGTTTCAAAAATCTGTTCAGAAGATTGACAATAATTTGCGAACTGGTATGTTGGATAATTAGGGTAATTAGATCCGTTAAAAAATACTTTTTAAAGTTATATTGCATAAATGAAGTTTGCAGATGTTGTAAAAGAAGATAATGAATCGATCTCACCTGAAGAGAACACCGAAGAAAAAAATTCGGTTGATTTATCCGTAGTTTCTGGAACAGCTGATTTCATGCAAACTCATGATAAATCAATTTGTCGCCTAAAACCTGCTGATGAAGTTACCTTGACCGATAATGAAGGAAAGGAAGAATCTACAAAAATATTACAACTAGAGGAAATAAATAATCGACCTCTCTCTCAGTTATCAACTGCTAGTGAACAAAATGTATGGCAGATAAAGAGACGGAAGAAGAAAAAACACAAAAAAAAATCGAAAAAAGAATATTTAAATGAAAAATTGTGTGGCTTTCAAGTTTTTTCCGCTCTAGACAGTTAATACTGTAAATTACGATTCAGTGCTTTCTTCCATAGAAGCACAAATTTTATGCTACTTTTAAGAGCATATCAGTCATTTGTATTTGCATAATTCTTAAATGTAGTTGTTTCTGCTTCTAGGAATTTTGCTGTCTGCTGATAAAATCTAGAGAAATTTTTAGAAAATATTTGGATAAAAATTTATTTAATTTGCTCAAAAAAAGCTTGACAAATATTTATATTAAACATAAATTGTTAAAGTTAAAAATAGATTTGTTATTTTATTGGACTATATTTAGTTAAAGCTAAACGGTTGCTTCATGTCACACAAAATTTTTATTGTGGAATTTTAAAAGTTCTAAAAAAAGTGGAAAATATATAATATGTGATATATTATTGAAACTTTATCATTAATTATTCCAGTGAAATGCTTAAAAATTTCTGTTCACTGTAATCAAGAAATGGATAATACTTTATCCCTCTCCCTGCATGTTCTCCATTTGTGTATTCTATTTTTTGTTGTAGCATCAATCCTTGTGCATAATTTGCTAATTTGTAGTAGTGTTTTAAAATTGTACGTAAGGAATATATTTTTAAAGGTGAGCAGTAGTACCATTTTTATCCTATTAGTGTCGAGTATGAAAGATAGAAGGTGAAATTCTTGGACAAACTATTTTTATTATTTTTGTTGTTTCTGTGATTCAATTGCATAACCTTCCCGCAAATCTCATATTTAGACGGGTTTTTTGTCCATTTCTTCACTTGTTTGTTGATAATTGTATGTGCGCAAGACTTTATTGTTTATTGCTGTCTACTTTTAGTATCATTATTTATTTATTCATGAAAACTGCAGAAGTGAATAAAACTTGTGTAATGTATTGCGAGGTATTTGATGGAGTTTCACTGGTACTTTAATAAACAGTTAATAACAAATTGACACTTTACATCGTGTTTTTATGTTAGTGTAACTAACTAATTAATATAAACTGTAAATACAGTTCTTGGTTTCACTGTTCTTCTATATTTGCTCTTGTATTATATTCCGTTCTATTCTCTTGCATTTTTTACACATTTATAGTTTGAAGTAGTGTTAATGTACTTTATAATCTTTAAATATTATGAATGTACATTTATAGCATTTAAGAATTTATATCTAAATCCACTTAGTCTGATCCTTGAGTTGATTAAGTATGAAAAAGTTACTACCACCTACGTGTATAAGCAATTGCAATATGAAATTCTGAATCATGGTTGCTTC